TGTTCAGCAAGACCTGCTTAACTCTCCATGTCAAAGACTCATTGCAGCACCTCACTTACACCAACAGCATTCGGTGATGTTATATAAACCAACAACAAAGTTGAGCATTATATTTCAATGAATTTTAACTCCTCATGTGTAAAATGTTTCATTTAAACTTTCAAATCATCATGTTCCAGTATGTCTCTCCTAATCCATTTATTCCATCTCCTGCCAGGATAATCTGCCTTTCAGTGACCCAGTGGCACAAATCATGGTCAGTTTAGACTGAAATCATACCATCAATCAGGAGTTAACATTTGATAAATTTTGAACTCCCCTGAGAGGAAATGGTCTCTCCATAGTGAACAATGATAATAATACTTTAATTTGATATAGCACCTTATCATGTCATTGAGGCATCTCAAAAGTACTTTCCAAAATATATTATAAAGCGAATTGACTGGATTTTGTAGGCGAAACGCAGCAGCCAATAGTGTCCCATGGATTGAATGACCAGATTATTATTAAAAAAAATTTAAGGTATTATTACCCTCAGAAAGCAATCCGCCAATTGACTAATAACCGTTTCTACTTAATGTATGGTAAACACAAGCACGCGGAGCAAGAAAACTAAGGTTTTTCCCCGAATAGGAATCGCACTCAGGTCCTCTCATTTGCAAGGGAAACTCACCAAACTCACCTATGCTGCAGGATGAGAAGCTTCAATAGAAGTGCTCCATGATGGCCATTGATAAACCTTTTAAAAAACTACAGCATGGTATGCTGTGTGAGATTTATCAGCATGCTGATTTTCGGCTACCTCTACATTCTTATTATCTTTATATTACCAGTATATTTATATTATCCATATATCTTTTTTATAAGCTTGTTGCTGCTCCTACACAGTTTACTGTCAAACTCAAACAATAAAAAATGTTATCCTCTTATGGATGAAACTTGGTAAATGCTATGGAGAATAATATTGAAGTGATTTTACCCTATTATAAACAATGGGAAAACGCTTTTCTAACGACTTGCAGAGTGGTGACAGGTCTATAACATTAAACGACCAAATCAAGTGGATTCATAAACTGTTGAAGTTATAAGTCAAAAATGTCCAACACTTATTGTACAAAATGGACCTTTTCAGCAATGGTCCAATTTGCTGTCCACATTACAAATCGTGCTTTTTATTTCTGCAAGAACCTGGTATTCTTTCATGCCATTACTCACTTCACTATTTCCTTGCTGTGTTTGCTTTTCAGTTTGATTCATGTACTCCGTGCACATAAACCAGTTTGATCATCTTATTCTTGAAATTAATAATAGTACCAAAAATTACAACTACAGTACCTCACCTCAAGGTAAGTGAACAATCCAATGCCCCTCTAAAAGTACAGTATTAATCACAAACATGCATGATTATAGAAGCTATTTACAATCATTTTTATTTCCGTTTGTGGGACATTTCCAAAAGAGCTCCTGCATACAGAAATCTCCACGTAATAAGATCGAGCCAAAAAAGCACAGCGACGAGAGTAAGGGAGAACAATTTATTGTTGAAAATTGTTAACAAAATGATAAAAATCTACAGTCACATGATACATCAGTTCCATCAGTGGAGTTTCATAATCATTTCAATACGATACAGGTGCAAAATAACTCAAGTGAGCTTTGGTTATTCCTTCAGGTTGGAGGGCACCAAATGATGCTTTTCAGAGCAACAGATGAACACGAGAAGGATAATGTGGTCCATCGTGATGTTACAGTAATTACAATTATCCAATTGCAATTTGCTTGACAGAAGCTTTGCTGCCTATGTACAATGCCTTAGACAGGGGTCTTATTTGGTAATTACAGTGCAATCTTGATAATCTCAGGACTGATCAACAAAGGTTTGCTCATATCACAAGACATCTTTAGAGAAGACAAGTGGACAGATGGTAGATTGAGCTCTGTTTGGACGATCAGAAATGGGCTAAACAAAACTGCACCAAGATACTTTACCTGCTAATATCTCTCAGTAATAATCCATTTTGAAACAGTACACATTAGATTTTTTTTAAACGGTGACAGTCAGGGTTTCTTTACAGCATATGAACTCCTGGAAACAATAACAAAATAAGGCATTTCTGGACAAATTCTTCTACAAAACACTAGACGACAAAAGGCATGCAGAAAGTGAGACCCTCTTCAGCATTAGTTTTGTTTTTTCCCAGTCATTCTGCAAAAGCGTTCAGGTTAAAAATTATATAATGAAAACATTCTCAATTTCTGTACAAAATACAACCATGCGAAGAGTGTGTATGCATGCACTGAAGAACTTGCCACTGTTAAAGCCACATCAATTGAGCCCTTGCTCCTTAAAAAGGAAGGACATCAGGTACGTTGCGATTTTCTAGATGAAAAAGCCCTGGCCCATAAACAAGTAACTTACTATATTATATGGTTTCCAGCTAAATGCACTTTCCTTACTGAAAGTCAGAAAGATAACTTTTAAAATACATTTCAGAAATGTGTCAATAAATGAATCCTTGACCTGTTGAATAAATAGGTACATAATATAGTTTGCACATCAAAGTGCTGTGACTGGCGTTTTAAGTGTTAAGTGTAGGTACAGTTGAACTTCAAAATTAGGCACTTATTACATTGAATAAAAACGAAATCTTAAAACAGGCAAAATTGTCAACCCAAATACTTTCAATGCTGATACTATTCCTTGACACTGTGGAAATATATATTGCAAATTACAAACGGATATTCAGAGTCATGGACGTACATAGTTTAACACACATTCAACATTCAGAACCACACATGTGCAGTTATTGAATATTGAGTTTCATTCACAATTTCAAGAATACATAGACTTTTATAACCATTTTGTATTCAAATATTTGATATATTCAAATATATATACTATTTTTCTAGCTGGATTTTTACTTAGCCAAATCTACACACAACAGCCTTATTCAAACAGAAAGAAGCCTGGCTCTCTCCAGAGGTTAAAGGTTTAGACTGGCACAGCACTATATAGTCACTGAAGAATTGGAATTGTGTGATAAAACTCCCTGGACGACCTTTGATTGACAGGTTTTTATCAGTAGCCACATAGCTAACTGACAGCACTTCAGAAATATGAATGAAATGCTTAAGTGCATTGGGAAATAAGCCTAACTAACCTGCACGATTTATTTCACTGTTGTTCTGGCTAATGCAACTGGCCATTCTGACGTGGAAGGATTTGAGTTTTCTGGTGTCCAGTAACGGTATATAAGCTTGTACACAAATACATAATTCACACTGCAACATAACCTCCAGGGTACTATGGATAACATAACTTGAGGCTGCCTCCTTATGGGCAGCACACAATCTAGGCACAGATATGTTGAAACTGCAGACATCTACTGAGGATATATACAGGTGTTCATGCCAAAAAAGATTTGTATTCCCTCCCCACCCCCCACCAAACTGCATTTTTCTTCTCCAAAGGTGACCTGTGTTGAGTGTCCAGCTCCACTGGTAGGTGCAGTCCTTGGAACGTAGCTCAAGTGGCTATTCAGGAAAGCCTAAACAGCATGCCTATTCGACAGCAGCAAGGTGGTGGGGGAGGGCGATGTCCGATTCTTTCCCCCATTCCCCAGCGCAGGACATCACTTGCAGCATCTCTCCATTCACCTCTCTTGAGATCAGTTCCGCGAGCACTAACAGGTGTCGTTACCTTGCCCAAGTGGCCATTATTTGTATGTGAGCTTGGACACCACGTTGGCAAGGTAGTGAAGTGAAGGGGACGGGGGGAGAGGCTGCATCACAGCAGAGCTTGATCCTATCCTCACTCAATATCCATTCTAGTTCAGAGGCTAATTCAACAGTGACCAGGGTTGGCAGTCAGGATCTCCCTGGTCTATGTGGCTCTGTACCATACCAGTCATTTGCTCACCAAGTCCACTGGGAAAACCTTAAAGAATTGCAATTTCAAAGACAGTCCACTGGGAGCATCAAACCACATTTACTTTGAGAGAATCCTGACCCTCTATTTAGAAGTCTAATTTAACCACTCTTATTAAATATTATTAAAAAATTAACTGTGCCCAATTCCGTATACTCAGCTGCCAATGATTAATAACTCTACAAGACTGATTGTTCTTAAACAAGCTTATTGTAGACAGCTTGATTTTAAACCTCAGTTAATTATTACAGTAGATGCTATCAAACACGGTGCTTTACAAACCACTGGAAAATAGAAGTGAAAAGGTAGCAGCAGCGATTACTTTCAATGTGAAATCTTAGTTGTACCTCTGGGGCTAACGTGTTGGCAACAGAAGAACTTTGGAACACATGATCTGCCAAGTGAGGAAGCAGCGATGGAGAAATCGTACCTCATTGTAGCCGATTCAGTGCACTTCTTTTAAGGAGGCATTCAGAAGGCAAAAGGATCACAGTGTCAACTGTCTGCCTATCTTGTTTATATACAAACTATCTTTGCAATAGTAAACACAAATCAAATTAAGGTCAGCTAAAGTGGGGCGTTTTTCCTTGTGCGCGTGTGTGCGTCTAAACTAAAATACTGTACTTAAAAAATCAAACAAGTGGAAAATACTGTAGGCATTACACTACAATGTTGCAGTGCCCTATTTTGTCACTAAAGGTTACTAGTGAGCTTATCAAACATTCCAGCAGTCCTTGGAGGTTTGTCTCTCCCAGATTTTAATAATAATCCTTGCATTTGATAAAGCGCGTTATCATGTCTTTGAGACCTCTCAAAGTGTTTCACAGAATATACTGCAAAGTGAATTGACTGTATATTTTGTGTGCGAAAGGCAGCAGTGTCCCACAAACAGTCCTAGATTGAGTGACCAAATTATTATTTATTTATTTTTTTGAAGGGATTATTATCCCTGGAAAAGCAATCTGCCAATTGGCTAACGACCGGGTTCCTACTTACTGCTAGGTAATCAGAAGCGTGTGGAGTAAGGAAACTTGCCTAACGTTTCGACCTGTTCTGGAGTCCTCTCGCTTGCGAGGTGAGTGCTCTAACATTGATTAGAGGACTCCAGGACTCCACATGAAGGACAGGGAAATAAAATAGCCCCTTTAACTGTATCTTGAATGGGCCTGCACACTTTTACAGGAACGTACATGTACACACATACAACACACACAAATTCAACCCCTATAAATGTTTCTCAAAGGACACCGTTCCTCCACTATGCGCACATCCCATTCGGCCTTCTGCTTGTCTAAGATGCCTTTGTTCATTACCTTGAAATCCTAATTATACAGTCATTGAGTACAAACAATCCTGGAGTGCCATTTCCCATCTTAATCACAGAGCTGCAACTTCCACTGTATGCAAGACAAGTCATGCCAATTAGACTCAACCAGTCAACAATCCTAGAACAGATTGCACCATGGCAGCCAGGTTGTAGTGGCCTCAATTTCCTTCTTAAAAAAAACAAGGTAAAAAGCCAAGTCACGCAGAATGTTCCGTTCGTTTCACAAGCTCACGTGTACTAACAGGTCCAGACCTGAGGGAGAAAGGAAATGAAGAAGTTAATAGACCACTGTAAGCCTCCAGTACAATATTCACAGAACATCTCCCTAACTCTACTCAATTTTGTTTCAAGGCAAATTAGTTTATGTTGTCAATGACAACAAGAAACTATAAGATTATAAAAGACATTTGGATCAAATGTCCATTTGGTCACATCTTTGTAGAATACATATCCCCTCATCGTCCCATTTTAGTAAATGCTCAGTTTACTGGATTCCAGGTATCCGGATGTCGGACCTAGCCAGACTGGGCCTGACACGGAAATTCTTTTAAAAACATTCCATGGATCAGTACGTGTATAGACTCTCGATGCCCACTCTCTGAGCACCCCTTCTCACTGTCCTTGCTGCCCTTCACAGGGGCCAGAGATACTGGATCAACTTTTACTTGTTGTGAATCCTGTGAGTAGAAAATAGCTTATTCGCTATCTTCTGTTCATGGGATTCAAACAATTACAACGTTTACAATTACAATTTTTCATAAATGCTGGTAATTGTAGTTACACTTAGTCAGAAATTCCGACTCGCTGGATTAGATTTCCCTCCACTCCCTTTAGTCCGGTTAGCTGGAGTTTTAAGTCTATAGCCTCAAATGTGTTTCTCATCAAGACCAGTATCTTTGATGAGATACTGTAATTGATAAGCCCAACTATCAATTACTCTCTCTAAAAAAATACTTCCTGGTGTCTGTCCTAAACTTAGCCCTTCTTAACATGCTCCCTTGGCATATCTGAAACTATTGTTCTAAGTTTACTGATTTATTAAGCCAGACAGAGGCACCCACATTGCGGTGATTTCCAAAAAGAATCATTGATGATATCCTTCTGGAAGTAGATTGTGTCGAAGTAAAATCCTGTGAGTTGGTGAGGTTTATATTATAAGGTGCCACTATTTATGATTCAGAGTTATTAGCGACTCCTGTCGGCAAGCACTGCAATTTAGACCCCAGAGCTTAATTATGACAACACAGCAGAAATCCTAATACATGGTGCCAAAACCAGGTAAGGTTAAATAAGTCCACATTCACAACACAATTACAGTATTATCAAGTTTAATGAAGGGGAAACGGACAACGGCAACATTGCATCAAGATGGAAACACTTACTTTAACTGTACTATCCACAGCACCTGAGAAGAGCCGTCCTCTGGACACAGCTAGTGCAGTGACGCTACCTTGGTGGCGGAGTAAGGTCTGTGTACAGATCATGTTGTCCATGCTCCAAACCTACATCAAAATTAGATCATGAACTAGAGTCTAGATACAGCATTATATTAATATTAAATAAATTATCCTATAATATAGTCTTTCGTGTTAGCACATCTCACAAAGTCCTTTACAGGATTTAATGTAATGTGTAGTGGCTGTATTTTGCATGGAAATGTTTAAAGAAATTCGTTAAGCAAAATGCACTGTGATTTGAATTAAAATGTACATTAGAAATAAAATATAAAATCCTTATTAGTATTGTAAAAATAGTTTTAACAATTCAAAAATTTGTCCTGCTAAGAATCCTTGCATTTATTGCTGCCAATTCCCGATGGCTTATTTGTACACAATGTGGCAGCCAGTTTGTGCACTGTGCACTATGAAATGTAATTATTGTAAATCGTAGGTATGTATGTTAAACAACTGAATGTTATGTCAAGTAAATAATGCATCATGTAACTGGCACTAGTTGCATGATTTTTCTGTAGTGAGATACCAGGTTACTTAACACCTTGCTTAACGTCTTATCCTATTAACTTTGTATCCTAGTTTTCTCTCCAATATCTTTTTCCAACATACCCTAAGTGATCGATCGTAAGATGCACTGAAGACTTTAGTCTGATCTGGTGTCGAAATTACAGCCAGTGCGTACACTGTGCCTACGTGGCCAGTCAGCGTTCTAACTTGCTCTTTAGATTCTATGTCCCACACCTTAAAAGGAAATAAGTGCAATAAACAGTCAGTTACAGTTATCATTGTAGTGTACTGCAATAGAAATTATTTTATCTCTACAGAAAAGAAACACTTACATGAATTAGGTTTTCATAGGTTCCGCACACAATGTGGTGATTAGTAACTGCAATGGAGTACACACTGCCACCAGAGGTCTGCAGTACGTGGACACACTCCAGAGTTCTTATGTCCCAGATCTGTAAATGAAAAATAAATTTACATGAGAGTTAAGGAACGCCTTAATGGCGCTTTAAAATTTCACATACCATACACTGATACTACTTGATTCAAATATATACAAATTGAACTACATTACGATCTTGAATAAATACACCAGCCTTTGCATTAGGTCATTGAATCACATTTGAGAAAGACAAGGAGAAGGTGAGGGAGATTTCAACATCAAAATATGAAATTGGAAAAAATTTAAATCACACAATTTCAAAATACTCAAAGCAAGTCTCTTGAAGTAACGTTGCAGACTGTACAGTAAAATTGCTCCTCAGTTCTGTGTGTGACGGGGGGGGTAAGGAAGTCAGAAAAGAACAGGATCAAGCTCAATTTTGAAGTTCTAACAACAATTTAGGCAAGTAAACTACCGTCTTTCAAGTAACTACTACATTAAGGATTTGCTGTAGATATGTAGCTCAATTACTTGAAGAATTTTCAGTTGTATAGCATACTATTATTATGTGCAACCATTTTAACAAGAACTGAAATAAATGTTTAAGAAAAAGCAAACATTTATTGAAGGTTTAAGATGAGCTCATACCTAAATTAAATCTGAATATGAAGTACCTCCCTTATGATCACAAAAGACTAGTGGAAAAATTGAACAGTGGTACATCTGATGAGGATTATACAATGGTTGCCACAGTTACAAGAGAGTACTTAGTTTATCAGTACCATGTACAGCTCTGCCAATTTAAATAGCAACATCCAACTGCAATTCATTAAGCAGTTTACCAAAGGAGAATTTGCCAATATGTTTTACAGTAACTCTATAGCTGAAGGCTATACAGTCCATAATTATTAAGCTTTTAGCAGACAACATCCAGGTGCAAGTGAAATCTCAAAGGCCCGCAGAAATTACACAGCTTCCCTCTCTTCCTATTTCAGCCTTGCAAGAATAAAATGAAAGCTATTTCAATGCAAAATGGGGCCTGATAATGGATGCAGTGTTCAGTTGAGTAATAGGAGCACTGAAATGATAACATACAAAAAGTGATCAGAAGGAAAAACTTTACTAAAACAGGAGGGTAGTGGGAATGAAGGGAACAATAAGCCAACCTTGATCGTCTGGTAAGATCCACTGTAAAGGTGATTTTGCGAGGCCACCAATGCCCGCACCCAGTGATTCAGACCCGTGAGCTCCTTCTTTAGCTTTAGTTCCGTACCCACAATGTCCCAGACCTTCAGGGGTGAACCACAGTGAGCAATGTTAATAATAAATGGCACTATTGACAAGTTGAAAGAGCTATTTCAAAGTAATAGGGTGCCTATCACGTAAAATACCGGCACAGATCTTTTATAGGAATAGGAGGACAAGGAAAACTACTCAGGTTATTAAATCAAACTAAATAAGTCACACTAATTAAACATCAACAGTAGTTGGTGAAGCTAAATAAGAGACTAATATGTGCCATTTACTAGCATTAGTGGACTTTTTTCCCATTATACTTAAGGCAATCAAAAGTTCTAGTTTAAATTCTATAGTGAAACAAAATACAATACGTACAGTAAAATAGTAAAATAGTGAAGGACAAGATGATAACGTCTAACACACAAGGTTTCAATATAACAAATACCTTAATAGCTTTGAGTGAGCCACTGAATAGCATGTTGTGTGATGATACCAATGTGCAAACAGGATTGTCATGTGCCCGGATAGTGTTGACTTTCTGCAAAGCTGGTATGTCCCAAACCTAGGAGAAAAAGCAATTGGAGATAAATATCACACGATCCTCATAGCGTACTAATCAGCAGGTAATTCATTAAGAAGCTAGAGGGGTGGGGGGGAAGAAAGCACCGTACATATGCATGTATTTGAACCTCACTATAACAAACCCCCTCGAGACCGGCAGAAGAGATTAATATATCACTACAGTAGGGAATGGCCATCAAAGAGGTGCAAAAATTGGGTGTCGCCATTGGGATCGTTAAAACCAGGGTTTGTTCTAAGCAGGGTTCATTATAGTGATGTTTGTCTGTACACTTAAGCAAATCGCATTAAAGAAGCGAAATGGAGCGGTACTGAAACAATTGCTCTTATAGTTAAGATGGGCTAAACAGTCTTCTTCTGTGCGGAGAAATTATATAAACTTTCCAGAAGGTATTACCAGAGAAATAGCTGCGTCTATATTTAAGAACCATATTTTCAAAGTAAACTATCTTCCCCATTCCCCCAGGAAATGGACAGCAGCATTCATAATATAAGAAATGAACAAGAATAGGAATGTTGGAAACTTGAAATGAAAGAAATGTGGAGCAGGTTGATCAGCAGCCGAAAGAGCAAAATAAGTCAAGTGTTTTGGTGTGACTGCAAGAGTTTTTATAAATATATAAAGAGGAAGAGGCTGTCAAAGGTAAATATGGGTCTGCTACAGGCAGAGAAGGGGGGGAATTATAGTAGGGGACAAAGACATTAGTCATTAAACAAGTACTTTGCTGCTGTCTTCACCTTAGAAGACACTGAAAACCTACCAAGAATAGAGGGGAACCAAGAAGACAATGTTAGTGAGCAACTTGGAGGAATTAATATCAGTAAAGAAATGGTTTTAGGTAAATTGTCAGGTCTTAAAACTGATAAATCCCCTGGACCTGATGGCCTACATCCCAGGGTTTTAAAAGAGGTGGCTACTGAGATAATGGATGGCTTGTCTTTGATCTTCCAAAATTCTCTGGATTCCGGAACGATTCCCATTGATTGGAAGATTGCAAACATAACACCACTATTTAAGAACGGTGGGAGAGAAAAGATGGGGATCTACAGACCAGTTAGTCTGACATCAGTGAGGGAAAATTCTTGAGTCCTTAATTAAAGATATCGTTATGGGATTCCTGGAAGACCATAACAAGATTAGGCGGAGTCAACATGGCTTTACAAAAGGGAAGTCATGCTTAACTAATCTTTTAGAGTTTTTTGAAGATGTATCCAGCAGGTTAGAGAGGGGGGAACCAGTAGATGTAGTATGTTTCGATTTTAAAAAGGCATTTGATAAAGTGCCACAGAAAAGGCTATTGCACAAGGTTAAGGCCCACGGGATTAATGGGAACATATTAGCACGGATTGAAAAGTGGCTAACGGGTAGAAAACAGAGAGTAGGGATAAACGGGTCATTCTCGAATTGGTAGGATGTGACTAGTGGAGTGCCACAAGGATCAGTGCTTGGGCCTCAGCTAGTTCCTGGGATGAGGGGACTGACCTATGAGGATAGGCTGAATAAACTAGGGCTATATTCTCTAGAGTACAGAAGAATTAGGGGAAATCTTGTTGAAACATATAAGATTCTTAAAGGGCTGATAAAGTAGACATTGAGGGTCTGTTTCCCCAGTACGAGAATCTATAACCAGGGGTCACAGTCTGAAAATTAAGGGTCAGCCTTTTAGAACAGAGTTGAGGAAACATTTCTTCACTCAGAGGAAACATTTCTTCACCCCAGAAGGCTGTAGATGCTCAGTCCTTGACTGATTTTTTAAAAATAGAGGGATTAGGGGATATGGGGATAGGGCAGGTAATTAGAGTTAGGTCTGAAGATCAGCCATGGTCTTATCAAATGGCGGGGCACAGGCTCGAGGGGCCGAATGGCCTACTCCTGCTCCTAATTCTTATGTTCTTATGTGATGAGAGGCCACAAGCAAACTGTTAAGTTACTTTTCTTTCAAGAGGACTTGCTGTGGATTTCCAGTATTTTTATGACAATGCAAAGTCCCTTTGTATACTGGAATGAACAATATACTTACAATTATTGTGCAATCTGCAGAGCCACTGTACAATTTGTTCCTGTAAATAAAATGTCACAATTAGTTTGAAATAACTTTAGTTCAAAGAACCATTAGAACAATTATTTTATTCTTAAAATTGATTTTTGTGGGTTTTTATTTTTCACAAAACCCTACCCTTGAATGCAGAGAGCCAAGACGATGCCATCATGTCCCTCTAGAGTCTTCTGGCACTTGTATGTTGTACAGGTATCCCACACCTAAAAGACAAAGTCAGCACTTACTTTCAATGCTGTCAAATAGAAAGATAGCTTACTTTAAAAAGTATATATTATTAATATACAAGTTAAATACTAGTGCAATCATTTTAAACAGAACAGTAAACGTGTCTGGTGAAAAGGATACAATAACCTTTAAGAGAATGTTTTGTTTTGTTTTGTTTTGAAGCTTAAAACATGAACCAAGTCAAGGTCTAATCCACCGCAAAATATAATTATCAGGGATTTATTGCTGTGACAAATTCAATGAATTTATAAATTTATCGAGTTGCAAAAGAGGTCCCACAACACCCAAGTGTTTTATGTTACTGAGGTGGAGATTGTATCCGTGGTTAGACAGCGCCATCTAATGTTACTATGTTCAAGCGCTGATAGGATTGAGAAACTTGCCTTAATTGTTTTATCTGAAGAACCGCTGAAGAGCAGGTCACCGGTAGAGTGGACGCACAAACACCAAACCGGTCCTTGGTGACCCACAAATGTCCCCTTGCACTTAAAAATCTGCTGAGGATCGTATGCTGCAAAATCAAACATCCAGCATCAGCGGAAAGTGTCGGTGCTCTACTACAACAGCAGCAACAAAATTACATTTGTATAGCGTCTTTAACATAGGGAGGATGTCCCAAGGCGCTGGATAGTCAGTGTTTCGGACACGATCTGGAAGTCGGGATTGGGAAAGGTGGAGGGCAGGGTGAAAGCATGGTGATCAAAAGCATAGTTGAAGAGGAGGGTCTTGAGATGGGTCTTGAAGGAGGCAAGGGAGCAGGCGAGGCAGAGGGACTGCGGTATGGAATTCCAGAGGGTGGGGCCAGAGTGGCAGAAAGCCTACCCAGCAATGCGGGAGTGAGCGAGGCGGGGGACGTGAAGCAGGCCAAAGCCCGCTGAGCGAAGGGAGTGAGCAGGATGGTGGGGGAGTTAGGAGGTCGCAGAAGTAGCGGGGAGCAAGACCATGGAGGGCTTTGAAGGTGAGGACCAGGATCTTGAACTGTATCCTCTGTGTGATGGGAAGCCAGTGGTGTCGGGCGAGGATGGGGGGGATAGGGTCACGGAGCCTGGTGCGGGAGAGGATACGGGCTGCAGAGTTCTAGATGATCTGCAGCCTGTGGAGGGAGGAGTTGGGAAGGCCGACAAGCAGGGAGTTTGCATGGTCGAGCCTCGATTTTATGAATGTGTGTATGAGGGTTTCAGGGGCATGTGGTGTGAGACAGTGGCGGAGGTGTGAGACAGTGGCGGAGGTGGGGGTAGAAAGAATAGTTGAGGGTCATACAAGATCCCAAAGTTCCGGACTGGCTCAGTGAGGGGGAGTGAGCCCCATGGATGGTGATGCTGTCAGCGCCTGAGGTGTGGAGGCGCTGACAGGAGCCAATCAGGAGAGCCTCAGTATTGTTGACGTTCAACTGTAGAAAGTTAGCTCTCATCCAGGACTTGATGTCTGACAGACATTCTGTCAGCACAGCAGTGGTCCTGGAGTCAAGAGCGAAGGCAGAGAGGTGCAGTTGTGTGTCATCCATCCGCATACATGTGGAAGTTGACCCCATCTCTGCGGTTGATGTCACCAAGCGGGAGCATATAGATGTTGAAGAGGAGGGGACCAAGGACAGAGCCCTGAGGAACGCTGCACGAGACTATGCGGAGGCTGGAGAAGCCATTTGTGGAGATGAAGTGGAGGCGGTGTGAGAGGTACGATCTGATCCATTTAAGGACAGAACCGTGAAGGTTGAGTTGAGAGGAGAGGCCATGGATGAGGATGGAGTGGTCAATGGTGTCGAAGGCAGCAGAGAGGTCAAGGAGGACAAGGAGGCAAAGGGATCGCAGATGGACAGAATGTCATTTGTCACTTTGACCAGGGCTTTTTCTGTGCTGTGGGCGGCACGGAAACCCGATTGGAGGGGTTTGTGACAGGAGTAGCAGGAGAGGAAAGAGCAAAGCTGGGAAGCAACAATTCATTCCAGGATCTTCCAGACTTTATTAGTTTCCAAGACAAACATTTGCCCATTTACAGCCTTTGATTTGAAGACTTCTGGAAATGGGAACCTTTGCTCAGTACAGAAAGCATTCAGAACTCTTCCTGTTGCCGTGTGCCTTCTGAATATGGACAGCTGCCCGGCTTTGCCACTATCTCACACCGCAGGTCACTGAAACCCTCATACGTGCTTTCATTACATCAATGCTTGACTATGCAAACTCATTGCTTGTTAGATTCCCCAATTCCTCCCTCCACAGGCTGCAGATCATCCAGAACTCTGCAGCCGTGTCCTCTCCCACACCAGGCTCCGTGACCCTCTCACCCCCATCCTCACCCGATTCCACCGGCTTCCCATCACACAGAGGATACAGTTCAAGATACTGGTCCTCACCTTCAAAGCCCTCCACGGTGTTGCTCATCCCTACCTCTATGACTTTCTAACCCCCTACCATCCTGCTTGCTCCATCCGCTCAGCAGGCTCCAACCTGCTTCACGGCCCCCACCTTGCTCGCCCCACTATTGGTGGGTGGGCCTTCTGCCACTCTGCCCCCACCCTCTGGAACTCCATCCCGCAGTCCCTCCGCCTCGCCTCCTCCCTTGCCTCCTTCAAGTCCCATCTCAAGACCATCCTCTTTGACCATGCTTTCGATCACCCTGCTTCCACCCTCCCCAATCCTGACCCCCAGCTCAGGTCCAAAACTCTGTCTGTCCAGTGCCTTGGGACGTCGTCCCGATGTGAAAGGCACTGTACAAATGGATACAGCAACAACAGTGACAATATACTATTCCGAGGATTAAGCTGTGGCGAACCATACTTACATCCCAGAATTCCCATATTTAACCTGGCATTGATGTGTGAAAGTTCATCCTATAATAAAATTAAATGCAGAATATTATTACAATGTGCAAGGCAAATATTATAACAAGCCAAATATTACAATAACCGGCATTTGAAATAGTTATTATAGGCATAATAGGCAAAATACAGACAAAGCATCAGTATTTACATCTGTAGCCACTACTTGCACTGAATCAGCATTAACATTTAGAATAGCTCCAATTATACACCAAATTGTCCCATGTTATCAAAAATAATTCACAGGATGGAAGTAGTAAATCACTGCATTGATTTCCCCATGGAATTTGCATTTTATAGTGCCACTAAAGCGTTATTTTAAACAGCAAACTGTAGATGTTTTGGATGTCTATATTTACAGGGCCCACTTTTCAGAAGGTGGATCAATGCAGTGTCAGGTTGTGACAGCAGTATTATAAACAGAACTTAGTCAAACAAAGTTTGCCAAATAATCCATATTTTAGATTAAACATTGCTAATATTGCATTCTACATATGGAGAACCTCAGAAGATGCTACATATAAAACAAAGTCTATTTTAGGCCTTGCTTTGAGGCATCAGGCAGTGGATAACTGAGATCTTGAAGTACCTTATTTTTAAAATAAAACAGTGAGAGACTTCGATATCCCTCCCCATTTTGCATCACCTTTGCCTGCCCCCAATTTGAGGAAAGTATATAATAAATGGTCTTCTAGGCTTTAGCTACTGATTCGAGTTGTTCAGCTGCAAGGTTTCCTTATCCTTCTTTTGAAGAGTGGTTATTTACGGAAACCTCAGTCAATGACTACTGAGGTAAACCATTAAAATGTACTGAGATGGAGAAGAAACCTATACATTTAGAAAGTGAAATTATCGACACAGCTTGTCAAAGAGAATAGGGCAGCCGATTCCATTCAGGAAATGGAATGATGTAATAGTTGCACTCTTTTCCCTTAAAAATGAATGCATTAGTGGAAAATAACTTCAAAACATAGAGTTCTACATTCTAAAGTCCTTGCGAGGTACAGATTTGACTATTAAACAATTTGAGGAAATACGAGCTGTGTACTATCCAAGTTTACATCTCTCCCTACTGTGCAGGAATAATGTAAACATCAAGCGTTAAACTGCCCTGTTGATGGCTCACGTTAGCCAACAAAATAAGGAATATCAGGAAATGCCATCTATACTATTTGCTCCTAGAATTTGTTCACTAAAAAAAAACGGAGCAGCAGCCACATTAAAGAAAATCTAGGTCATAAAGCATCTTCTGGAACTTTTAACCACAGCTGGACATTATAAGACAGCAAATGTCACAGAACTTACACTTAGCATTGAAGCGTCTCTACGGAACTCCATCAGGTCCTCACTGAGTTTACTTTGGTTCTCATCTAGGACATCTGAAACAATAGACCACCACTAATTTCAACTCACAGCTCACAATAATTAATATGTTCAACAGCCCATTATAAACAGTCCTAATTGTTAAGCAGCCAGTGCGTTCTGCACAAGGTTAACACTCTGAAGACTGAACAGAACTTGTAATTTCAGAGGGATTCCTGTTTTCTATTATAGAATCTCAGGAGCAAGAACTTTCTGTAAATTGTCAAACCAAATATGAAAGTAAGACATAGAAAACAGATTTGAATAGAAAACAATGGCACCCATTTTAAGCGCAATAATAATCCCTGCATTTGAAATAACAACACAACAACAAAATTACATTTATAGAGTGCCTTTCACGTTGGGAGGACATTACAAAACGCTGGGACACCTTATAACATCGTTGAGATGCCTCTTAACTGTTTGTATTCGAATTCAAGATCCTCACCCTCACCTACAAGGCCATTCACGGCCTCGCTCCCTCCTACCTCTCTGACCTACTATCCCCCTACCTACCTGCCCGTACCCTCCGTTCCTCCGGCACCGGTCGGCTCCACATCCCCCGCCCCAACCGCCCTACCATCGGTGGCCGGGCCTTCAGCCTCTCAGCCCCTAGGCTCTGGAACTCTATCCCCCAGTGCCTTCGCCGCCTCCTCCCTTTCCTCCTTCAAGGCCGGTCTCAAGACCTTTCTCTTTGACCGAGCCTTCAGCTCCCCTCTCGACTCTCTACCCCTCCTCACTCACTCCCTCCCTTCCCTCCCCTCACCCTGACCATTTCCCCCCAATGCTCGGGTCCGGATCCAACTGTACAGCGCCTTGGGACGTCCTCCCGACGTGAAAGGCGCTCAATAAATGGAATCTTGTTGTTGTTGTTGTTTGTAGGCAAACGCGGCAGCCAATTTGCGGCAGCAATGTCAAAAGACCTGGGTTTGATTCCCAGCAGGGTGAAATGTTGGGCAACTTTCCTTACTCCACACGCCTGTTTACCTAGCAGTAAGTAGGAATCCAATTGTTAGTCAATTGGCAGATTGTTTTTCTGGGGGTAATAATTCCTTCAAAAAAAAAAAAAATTAGTCACCACAATCCACTGTTTGTGGCCCACTGCTGTGCGTGATTGGCTGCCACGTTTCGCCCACAAAATATACAGTCAATTTACTTTACAGTATATTCTGTGAAGCCCTTTGAGATATCTCGAAGACGTGATGAGGCACTATATCAAATGTAAGGATTATTATTATAAAGAGAATGAACAATTTTAGACCAATAAAGGTTTAAAAAATCTTCCCCTGTGTTTTGTTGCATTAAAAGCTCCCAGTAGTTTAACTAACCAAACTTTAGCTCCAGAGACTTCTCCAGCTGGTCAAGCTTCTCCGAAAGTTTCCCGAGCATTGATCGGAGGAAGGCAATCTCCTGATCCTTCTGCGCCAGACCCACTTGCATCTCGTGAAAACGGTCATCAGTCTGCTGTAGGAATTCCTTCAAACCTTCAAACTTACACACCTCCAGGTGAGCTTCATATGTGTCCTGATTTCCTACAAACGTGCACCTGGTGGGGAGAAGAGAGAAGAGAAAGGCTTCAAAACTTGCATACTTACAGATTACAAAGCATTTCATTCTCCTTGGGTTTCTTTCAGAATTTGATGCTACCACAAGCATAATAATAAATAATCATGTGAATTCCATTCTAATAAATGAACACTTTTATGGAATGTTTAACTTCTTAAATGGCTGACACAAAACATTAATGGCAAAAAGTTGAATAATTTCCAAGGCAGGGTGAAACCTTAGGCAAGTTTCCTTACTTCACACGTTTCTGTTTACCTAGCAGTAATTAGGAAAGTTTATCACTTTGGTCACTCAATTCACAATTGTTTGTGGAGCACTGCTGTGCGCAATGGGCTCCCTTATTTCGCCCATAAAATACACAATCAATCCACGTTACAATATATTCTGTGAAGAGCTTTTCGGCGTCTCAACGATTTGATAAGGCACTATATCAAATGCAAGGATTATTATTATTATTATTAGCTCAACTAACTTCATGACTCAGTTGTACGAATACTCTTTCTGATTTGCAGGACAGGAATCTTTTCCTACAATGAATCTTCCATAAATAAGTCAAGGAAATAATTTAGGTAGGACTGAAACCCTCGCCTCCGGAAGTGTAGATACAATTTTATTCTCATTTTATAGAAGTAATGACTATCACTCTAGTTTGTCATTGAAGCCACTATATCACGTTTTCTCACAATGTTCAGAAAGTCCGATACTAGTATAAAGATTAAGAGCACAATGGAATAAAAATCTTATAATATTCAGTGCTGCAATACATCTGCTCTTTAGGGTATACATGCTGAGCAACCCAATTATAAGATTACTGGGTTTTATGTCACTTCCTGCACATTGCACATTTATGCAATGTACAGAAAGCAACATCAGTTGTGTGGACCCACAGGGTGGCTTTTTCTGCTCCTTGATTTAATTTTATCATAGGGGTCGGAGTTTTACGGACCTGTGGTAAAGTGGACTGCCTTGCATTTTTAGAAAGCTGCAAGTGGCATTTAGTATAAGAAGGCATTTTAAGTAGAAATATCTGTCTTAAGCTACGTAGTTATACCTGTAGTGCTTGCCCAATATTTAGGTGCGTAAAGTGTTAACATGGGGATAGTAATTGAGTCATCCTCTTTCAGCTCGTCTATTCCATACTGTAGGGAATAGCAACTCCTCCTTCTACCATTAATTCCCAATCATTGTCACTAAGGCAGTCAGTAAAGCAATACACAATTTGAGGTTAATTGTTTTTTCCCCATGGAAAACATCACCAGTCACCTTCCTTCAAGCAAATGGACTAGGCAAATTAAACGGAAGTGAAACAAAACTATAAGATTACAACAACATTTGCAGGTGCTAGTATGAGAAAGAAGCGACAATGGGCAGCAATGGATTTCACAACAGGCTCCAGTTCACAAGAGAAGTGATAACAGAAACGTATTGTTTGGCAGTGGTTTGGGAAGGAAGGGAAGAGAGGGTGCCAATCAGTTCACTTGAACCTCTCTTTTTAATCTGAACAGCTGGAAAAACAAAATTTAAAAAAAATTCATAATGCACCAAGAGTTCATGCATATTAAACAAAAAGAAGTGCTGAATCCTGTCCTTTTTGTTTGAGGTTATAATATTGCCAATTGATCCTCCTTATGTCCCATTCCCTCCTTAAATACCTCAACAGATTAATTACATTTATACTTAGCAATCCTGTACATACGTTATTCTATCAAATATCATCACATCATACTGACGGCATTGACTTTGTAATTTAACGCCCGTAGCAGCACGTTTAAAATAATAGTTTCTAGAATTAATGGTTAAGGAAAGTAATTCACGTAAATATATTCTGTAAAAATTGCTCAACACTTACCCATACTTGGAGTGTGGACACTTGATGTGTTCGCATTCCTTAAGGTGGGCCTCAAGATTCATTTTTAATAGCGGAGGGCAGTTTGGGTTGTTAGGGCAGCGAACTGGCCTGTAGTCACAGCTGCCTTCATGGTCTCTGCAGGAAGACAAGGTACGCTCGTCAGATCATTTCATTCATTTAACATCTCAAGTTGAGTCCCTGTACGGTTTAGCACAAAACCTTGTAGCTTTAGCACAAAAGCTTCCACTGGAATCTTTGAAATCCAGTCTGCAGTGAGAAAATGTTTCAAATTAACAGTTTTAACGAATTGGTTTCACATGGATGTCTTCTCCAAGGATAAAAAGGTTCAGTTTGACCTGGAGTTCTGTTCTTAGTTGCTCAACTTTTATATGTAGTCAAAGAAAATAAAGAGTGAGCCACAAGAACTCCGATTTGAACAGGGAGGGGAAAACATACATGAGCCAGGGTTTCCCGCTCCTAATAGCTACCTCGGCTTGAAAATAGATACCTAGGCATGTGTGGAGAGAGCTCGGCTATGAAGATGTGAATACTTGCGCGAGGTACAGGAAAACAGCCACTGCCTGTGCTCCAGAAAAAGCCAGGAAAGCTGGTCAGAGTAATCATTAAAAAGCTCCAGGTCACAGCCAATGTCTGAACCTAGCCTGAGGCACTGTAGTCCAGACCAATGGATAAAATATGAACAAGAGGTTTGATAGGCAGGAAAATGGTGATTGATTAATAATAGACAATTGTAATGTCCTACGCTAGGGAATGGAAAACAGCAAGGCTGATTTAAAGGCAAGACTGCATGATAAGGCACCCTCCGTTTGACGGTTTATTAATTGCAATAAATCTTAACAGATTGTTCTTTACAATTACTCTCATGAATGGCTTTGGCTTAACTACAGATTGAAGAGTGCCTGGCAATGATTGAAACGTGGAAGAAGAGGGGCAATTTAAAGGAAAATATTTTTAAAGTTGCAGTATCACACCTTAATTGAGAAACTTCAAGTGGTCAAGAAAGGCTGATAGAAATTATGTGGAATGATTGAAATTAATGTGCTCAATAATAAGATTTCCACCATTCCCCCCAAAATCTGTGAATAGGCAAGTCAAGTAAAATTCATAAACAGTAAAGGAAGGGTTAAGTGAAATGTTTCAGATCAGGAGGGGCGGACAAGCATACAAACTGCAGTCTAGCTCAGTATTTGCAAGAGGTTGAACCACTTTTGCAGAACCAAATACCAAAACATCCACAGAGAGAATACATAAAAGATCCCTTGTCACCACTATCTCATTCAGAACAATTTTTTACCCTGAAAAAGTTCAGAGTGCAGGTAGATACAATATTTAGCGGAAGAGCTAAACAGTATATGTACCATTACCACATATCATTCCCATTCCCTGGTATTTAGAAGACTCAAATTATGCTCTTTAATAGATATTAATTGATCACATTCATACTGTGTGCAATACACTATAGTCATTAAAAATTCTCCGGTTCAGTAAATATAGAAGGCTAATTCCAGGGCATTTAAAGTAAACTTACTTTCTTCCACTCAGTTTAATGGTGAAGGGGCAGCCTCGTGGGTCAACCTCGAAAGCTCCTGGTTTCCCACTGGATGCTGGCTGGCAGCCATATTTGCAATGCACAAACAACTCCCCAATCTGCTCAGCGACAGCTATGTTATTAACAACTACTGTCAGCTTTGCGTTATCCACAGGGCACTTTTCTGGAAATGCAGAACGCCACACTTACTCAATTTTACGAAACTGTACAGGTAGCAAAATGTAAAGAGCATATTTAAACCATCATCAAACACTGTTCACAGTGCATTTGCTACGCAAAAAGAATGTTAATCAAGCAAAATGACATGTTGTTACATGTAATTGTTCTGAAAAGGTTTTATACATCTCTGTAAAGTTTGAACTATAATATATGGTATTTATTAAACTTCTTGACTGAATGCTTTTGCAAGGTGGATAGAATGTTGCTTCATTCAGCACTCAAAGAAGTTTGCAATGTGTAATATTTCAAGAGAAAGCACTTCTGCATATAGATGTAGGAACTTACCAGATGTTAAGGCGCATCTTCTACAAAATGTGTGCTATTTGAGACAAAAAATAAAATTGCTGTTACTAAGTATAATTTCAATCAACATGGAAAGCTGTAATAATAGTTGGAAATGTGTGGTCTGAACTAGTCAAGACCAGTCCCATGTGTTGTGTAACTCAGCTGATATACTGCAAGTGTTTCCTTCCTGCCCTGATCACAAACCAAGTGCTAGTTCCACATAAACTGGAAACGTTTTCCAAAACAATCGTGGCTGATTCACTCGCATTACAGTTGAAAGATTTGGAGCATCGCATTACAGCAAATAATTCAAAAAGCGTGCACTGCGGCTAAAGACTGCAAACGTTCAAAATCTTGGAAATCCAAAAATCTTTTGTGGTTTTTAACATTTCCATTTGAGGTTCCTGAGGTATGTTAACTTTTCACTTATTATTGTGTGATGGCATGAAGTCACCTCCTCTTCTTACACAGCTGCACAGTGCCCTGACCAACTTTTTTTGGGGCCGTACTTGGAAACCAAGGCTAGAATGTCAACTTCCTTTCAAAGGGATTTTTCCATGCTAAGAAGCAAAGCCAGTTTCCTGAGGGTGATCTTTTACATGATATGGCAAACAAGAATCCATTTTGCAAAATACTGCAGTGTCTTTTTCAGACTAAAGCAATGTTGTATTCCATAGTAAAAAGGAAACATTAGTGCATCAAAATGAGTTACATTATGCCTTGCAAGCCTAACTTGACATATAATAAAACATTATGCAGAGAATCATTTTATTGCATGAGGGAACAGTTTATGTATTTTCAGGGTACATTCAAGAACTGAATTATTTCCCTTCGTTAACACCCCTCCTCATACCAGACATGATGGAAACAGGAATACAGCAATACTTGCACAGTGCAAATTTGGATCTGGAATGCATTGCCTGAAAGGCTGGTGGAAGCCAATTCGATAACAACTTTTAAGAGAAAAGTAGATAATTATTTGGGGAGGATAAGCAGAGCTATGGGGAGAGCCCGGGGGAGTGGGATTGATTTGGAAGCTCTTTTCAAACAGCTGGCACAGACACAATGGGCCAAATGGCCTCCTTCTGTGCTGTATAATTCTATGATTCTAGTATTTTGTCATCCATTATGCTCACTTGCACTTGTCTCAAAATAGTATCAGTTTGTAGCAGGATTAAATAATAGCCCTTGGCATCACGAATGTGTAATGCTATGTACATTACTGTTGGTTAAAAGGAACTACACACCGGATTCCACATTAACAACTCATAGAATCATACAGCACAGAAAGAGGCCATTCGGCCCATCGTGTCTGCGCCGGCTCCGAAAAGAGCTTCCAACTCAATCCGCTTTCTCTCCATAGCCCTGCAATCCTGTTCTCCCCACATACCCATCTACTTCGCTCTTAAAAGTTGTTATTGAATCGGCTTCCACTACCCTTTCAGGTAATGCATTCCAGATCCCAAAAGCTCGCCGGGTGAAATTTTTTTCCTAACTTCCCCTCTGTTTCTTTTAACAGCTCTCTTAAATCGGTGTCCTCGGGTTACTGACCAGTGGAAACAGTTTTTCCCGGTTCAATCTATCAAATCCTCTCATGATCTTGAAAACCTCTATTAAATCCCCTCTTAATCTTCTCTGCTCCAGGGAGAATAATCCTAGTTTCACTAACCTCTCCTCATAACTAAGGTCCTTCATTCCTGGTACCATCCTGGTAAACCTCCTTTGCACCCTCCCCAATGTCCTAACATCTTTCCTAAAGTGCGGTGCCCAGAACTGAACGCAGTCTCCGACTGAGGCCTAACCAGCATTTTATATTCAACATAACCTCCTGACTTTTGTATTCTATGCCCCTATTTATAAAGCCTAGTATCCCGGATGCCTTTTTAACAGCTGTATCTACCTGTCCTGCCACCTTCAGAGATGTGGACCCCCAGGTCTCTCTGTTCATTTGCCCCCTTCAAGATTGTACCATCAGCTTACACTGCCTCTCCTCATTCTTCCTACCAAAACGCAACATTTCGCATTTCTCCACATTTTAATGCCCATTTTACTAATCTGTCTAAGTCCTCTTGGAGTCTGGTGCTATCCTCCTCACCATTAACTACTTTTCCTGGCTTAGTGTTATCTGCAAATTTGGAAACTGTGCTCCCTATATCCAGGTCCAGATCATTAATATAGATCAGAAAGAGCAGCGGTCCCAATACCGACCCCTGAGGGACACCACTACACACCTCCCCCAATCAGAAAAGCAACCGTTTACTACCACTCTCTGCTTTCTGTCTCCTCGCCAGTTCTGGATCCATGTTGCCACAGTCCCTTTAATACTGTGGGCTCCTATTTTGTTTATAAGTCTCTTATGTGGCACTTTGTCAAATGCCTTTTGAAAATCTAGATAAACTACATCTACTGCACTACCTTCATCCACCCTCTCAGTCACTTCATCAAAAAATTCTATTAGGTTTGTCAGACACGATCTGCCTTTAACAAATCCGTGTTGACTGTCCTTTATTAACCCATATTTTTCTGATCGAGAATTTATATTGTTCCGGATTATAGTCTCCAGAAGTTTCCCTACTACTGAAGTTAGGCTGACTGGCCTGTAGTTCTCAGGTTTATCCTTCTGCCACTTTTTGTACAGGGAAGTAACATTTGCAACCTTCCAGCCCTCTGGCAGCACCCGGTGTCCAAGGAGGATTGAAAGATTGTGGCCAGAGCCTTCGTTATTTCCACCCTTGCTTCCCTCAGTAACCCAGGATGCATCCCGTCTAGACCAGGTGACTTATCTATGTTGAGCACCGACAGCCTTTTTAATACCTCCTCTCTGTTGATTTTTATCATATCCAATTTCTGTTCACACGCCTGCGATATTGTGGCATTGGTTGCATCATCTTCTTTTGTGAAGAAGTAGCTTTTAGTGAATCCTATTGCAAGTCGTTGCTGTTTTTGCTAAATAATGCAAAACTGCCTGCCCATATTCATTTGGAGGGAATCCAAATATTTGCATCTGCGATATTTGCATTTGCAAACGGTTCATTGAAGCTCGCATAATAAAATAGACTGTAACACTTACTCCACATGTTGTAATAACAGGATCCTTGAATATGCTGCAACAAAGTTGGCAACATAACTTCACTGAAGGTTGTTCAGCAAAAACTAAAGGCTCCTACAGAAGACAGAAAACAAACCATCACATCTATTGTCATTAACTAACAAGCCTGCGAGACAGAGCACGTTACAGCCAGCAAGCTACATGTTGACTTCTGCTTTCAGTCCAATATTAAACTGCATGTTAAACATCCATTTATATTGCCTCTATTTCCACCATTATATTGTGTATGTTGTTTCATGAATACATACAAAGGTGAATAATGTAATATTGCTATGAAAAAGACAAGCGGTCCAACTATCGATACAAATTCAGATCTAAATGCTTTCAGTTCACGACATTTCGAAAAGTCCAATAATTTTGCAGTAATTTTTTTATTAAGTCTAGTTATTACACTTCAGGATGAGTTAACTTAGTGACCCCGACTATTGCTTGAAAGACTGGCTCTCATATCACAAATATCTCTCTGCCCCTTTACAAATTCCTAAGGTAGACAATGTACACACCTGCTCATCCTCTTCTTCATGCAGAGAGAACGTGGATCGCAGAGACATGTTCGATTCTGAATGCAGAGATCGCACAGATATTGCAGAGTCCGACCGGCGTGGAGTACTGATCGGAGGCTAAAGATAACATGATTTTGTTATTTTGTAATTCTCATCCTGAACGGCTGAGTAATGAAACAGTCAGCATTTTCTTTGCACTGGACTCAAATTTAAAACATGCCAAAAACACAACAAACCACTCTATTGTATTGTGTAATAAAAAACTATCTTTTAAAACTCCTGTTGCCATACAACGACTGAAAGATACAGCAGGTTTGAGGACATACCTCTTCCACAAATGGTAGCAGACTTAATGGCAGTCCGTTAAGAGTACAAGCTACGAATTATTTTACTTGTTACTGTTAATAACATTTAACGTCTAATTACTCAAGCCAATATCTTGAGGACTGAAATGGTAGGAAACGAACGTCAAAGTGCAACTCACTCTAATGGCTTAAGCACAGTCAACCATGAAAGCCAATTCTTCAAGTCTATCCAAATGAAATCCACATCATATTCTTTTATCAGAAAATTACAGATAGTGAGTTATCTTTGCATGTAACAGACCTGTTTGAGTCTCCACTTTTTTCCAATAAAACAAAGTTAGCAAAGGCACTTGGACTAGCTATGGAGACATAACTATTGTGCGGCAACACTTGTTCTAATCGCTACAACCCTCTTGCCAACTTTTCTTTTCCCTCAAATCTGGTGACTTCCTGCGATTCAATTAACATGAGTCGTACTTTGCTGTTTCCTGCACAGGAGGCCTACCAGGGGCAATAAAAACAACCAATCAACAGGCTTTACACAACTGTATTGTGCAAGCAGTCTAATCTAAAGGTGAGCCGCGAAAAGGGAAATAAAATATAACTCATATAATATAATAATTATTGCAAAGAACAGAGAAAAAATACTGTTTAAAAAATAATTATGTGTAGTCCCCTGCTAATATATGCAGTATACTCTTGCTGCAGACCATTAATGTACTGGTGAGTCTAAATGAAAGAGGCACCATAACAACTCATCATCACAAGAACAAACGGAGACTTATTTAAAAGTCTACAAATTATTTAGCTTAGCTCTATTCATCACTGGTAATTTTAAAATGAAAACGGCAGAAATAGAACCGATGCATGTATCATCTTAGCCTTACAACCTATGTTTATTTCTTTGCATTGAGTGCACAACTAAAGGTGATCACCACCATTCACAAGTCCGGGAAAGATGCAGAAATCAGCATCTCATTCAGTGGTATTGAGTGACATACCGCAAAAGTTGCACTAAAAAAAATCCTTTGCACGATGAAATCTATTCCAACTATATATTTTAAGCAGCAAGGATCGCACCAAAGGGGGAAAAGAGGTGGGAGAAGCGATCTAAAACTGTCACTGCTAGGCTGAGAAATTCAATCTCGTTAGTTATGTGTAGCAACTTTTCAGACGCTTGTAAATGAAGAAATCCCATGAATGAAAAGAATATAATGTCAATTGGAATTTCAGTTTACATGTATCATTAGAGTTCCATAAAGTGTCTAACTCTTATGATGGTCTGCAGTGACAACTGCTCAAATATTCTTTTTGCCTGAGAATATGAGGTGCAATGAGAAAAAAGAGGAATTCTGTTCGAATTCCCTGAAATTTTTTCAATAGATATTTATATATATAAAATAATCCTTGCATTTGATACAGCACCTTATCACGTTGTTGGGACGTCTCAAAGCATTTCACAGAATATACTGTAAAGTGAACTGACTGTATATTTTATCAGCTGATTAAACAACTGAAAAGCTTCCTCGTTTGGTTCAGTGTTATTGGTGCTCTCAGGTAGGATGCTCGTGTATTTGATTTGATAGTTGATTTTTTTCTTTATATAAACACGAGCATAGGCAAATATACTAAACATGTATCTTGAGTAAGATTTATTGCTATTTACCTGACAGCTCATTTTAAAAGTAGTTAATTGCCTATCCTTTCCTTGAAACAAAAAGCTACAAATCCTGCAATGTCGAGCCTTCACAGGCCCTCCCTGCTTCTTTAATGTAATGCAACAGGAAACTATGATTCTTCTAGCTGTGAAATACATACCATGGCATCATCCTCGTCCCTCGGTGAATAGGTCAGTGTACTGGAGGAAGATGGGGTCCTCCGATGCTGTTTAAACGTATTTGTCCCATCAGCTGTGCACCAATATGTAAAAAAAACCTTTTAATATTTACTTTTGCTGGTCCTGGGAGATTTTACCCAAATCAAATATAATATTGTGTTTGTTGCCGAACAAGACTTCAAATATATTGGGAAATACATTTCTTTGAAATGAGACAGAGGTTTATCAAGCACTGAGGCCCAATACTAGGAACCTTTTATTACATTTCCCATTAGAAACACATGTTCACAATCAGAGTGTGTTAAATAGACTTCTGTTAGCATGCAATGAAGGAATAATAATCCTTGCATTTGATATAGCGCCTTATCATGTCTTCAAGCTATCTCAAAGCCCTTCACAGAATATATTGTAAAGTGAATTGACTGTATATTTTGTGGGTGTAACTCGGCAGCCAATTGCAATAGCAGTGTACCACAAACAGTTGTGGATTGAGTGACAAAATTATTATTTATTTTGAAGGGATATACTGCAAATACTTACCCCAGGACAAGCAATCCGCCATCGACTAACAACCGGGTTCCTATTTACTGCTAGGTAAACAGAGGCAACTCTTTATTTGCAATGTGTAATATGTACCAAACTGATTAGTTGCTATTTAGCAGTCACATTTTACCTTTAGTGATGGTGGTGACAGTAGAGTACGCTGGACCAAACGTGGTTTCCATTCTTGTCTGTTTAAAAAGGAAAAAGAGAGTGAACCTTGTTCCATACAACTGCAATGCAAAGACAACCATTTAATTTAGAAAATGTAATAATTGCTACAGATAGCTTGATGAAACCATTTGAGGAAGCAAGGAGAGAGACGCTGTGATTCCAGTAGTACAGTATTGATTGACATTTCACACTGTTAGCTTTTCCTGTTATAACAATATACAGTACTGCAGCCATAGCTTACCACTTACAATGCTTGTGTTTTCGACGGTTGGTAAATGTGTTGCACCTCCAGAGAATCGGTTGTAGCGATTGTTCTTGGATGAGGTCATAATCTAGAGCAACATCCAGTTTTTTAGATTAAGGCCATTCCCTGTTAATTAAAAAGAGACAATGTCGATATTTCACTTGTCCAGATAATGTCAGGTTATTTCAAAACCCTTTTAGACAGCAAATATGAATAGAACGTTCCATACGTATCTGATCTATTAAAAGGGTGATTTCACTTTTTATTTTATCAAACACAACTAGAACAGCAACAGAAAGGATAGGAGAACAATATTAAAAGAGAAAGGAAAAACTATTATAGTTTGTCACCTTTCATCATACAGTGCATCATTCCAACTCAGAGCATTGAAACAGTGTCACTATCTTCAAGAATTCTACTCTTCAACTCAGTTTTGGGGCTTTTCAGTTACTGAGGTTTATCAAATAAACCTGGACCTTTTCTAATATATATGGCTTGTGGTCAGCATATTCTGGCTGTCCAGAATTAATTGTTCTATCCTGTAAAGCAAGTTATTTAGTTTCATTGGAAAAAGCCTGAGTCAACCTGAATCAGTTTGTAATACTTCTCTACTGAGACTGGGAGGGTAGTGAGAGACCACAGGGAGTATACAGAGTCTAAAAGATCCAAAAAGGTGACTCTGTGCAACAAAATGAGCGCTATAAAGATACAGTTCTAATTCAACACAGGCTAGCCTGCTCACAGGAAATGCAGTCCTTAAAATCAAGACATTTCTAAAAGACCTTTCACTCAGAACAATTGAAAAGAATTGGTTATAAACCATGTCGAAGGTTAAAAAAAAGCCAGGTGTTTAGTAGTACTGGAAGTGCGATTGTCCATTTCAACTGTCAAAAGCACCCAGAAGAACAATTATGAATTTTGTCTTTTCAAATATGGAGGAAGTATTACGAGATACAACAACATTAGGATGTAGTGGAAGCTATGGAGTATCACACAAACAATGTAATACAATATCAAAGTCTATTGGTATCAATATGCTAAAGAAGGCCTAGTGATGACATACAAAACATAATAATTAACAGTACACAGGAGTCGAGCTAGCTGATACCAGGAGGTGCAATGATCTTGGATCTGGGCCTGATAATGCAGACTTTGCTAATGATATACAGCACAGCATTACTCTAAATGAGTTGGGCTTTAATCATAATAATAAACCTTGCATTTGATATAGCACCTTATCACGTCGTTGAGACGTCTCAGAGAGCTTCACAGAATATGCTGTAAATTGAATTCACTTTGTTGTGTTGCCAACATGTTGTTACACAAACATACGGTCAATTCACTTTACAGTATATTCTGTGAAGCGCTTTGAGATGTCTACAAGACATGAAAAGCGCTATATCAAATGCAAGAATTATTATTATTTATTATTACACCTCAGGCCCGACAGCATCACCATCCATGGTCGCACACTCCACCTTGCAGCCAGTCCGGAACCTTGGGGTCTTGTTTGACCCTCAACTATCCTTTCTACCCCACATCTGCACCATGACCTGCTCTGCCTTCCCCCACCTCCACAATGTCGCCCGGCTCCACCACTGTCTCACACCACAGGCCACCGAAACCCTCACACACGTCTTCATTACATCGAGGCTCGACTACGCAAACTCACCACTTGTCGGCCTCCCTCCACAGGCTGCAGATCATCCAGAACCAGGCTCTATGACCCTATCCCCCCCATCCTCACCCGATTCCACCGGCTTCCCATCACACAGAGGATACAGTTCAAGATTCTGGTCCTCACCTTCAAAGCCCTCCGTGGCCTTGCTTCCCCCTACCTCTCCGACTTCCTAACCCCCTACCACCCTGTTCGCTCCCTCCCCCTCAGCAGGAGGGAGGGAGCTGCTTCACGTCCCCACCTTACTCAACCCACTATCGGCGGGCGGGCCTTCTGCCACTCTGCCCCACCCTCTGGAACTCCATCTCGCAGTCCCTCCTCCTCGCCCCCTCCCTCGCCACCTTCAAGATCCATCTCAAGACCCTACTCTTCGACCGTGCTTTCGATCTCTCTGCTTCACCCCCCTGCCCTCCAACCTCCCGCACCCCAGCCCTCAGCTCGGGTCCTTGACTCTGTCTGTCCAGTGCCTTGGGACGTCCTCCTGATGTGAAAGGAGCTATACAAATGTAATTTTGTTGTTGTTGTTGTTGTTGTACACCAGACAATTAAATTGTATTTTATTAAGAATCTTGAAACACTTCTTAGACAGTACAAAAATCAGGAAATCTGCCAAGAAGATCGCACATATCTCCATTCCCAAACCTTGACCTTGAGCTACGGAGTCCTGTAGCTCAGTGGTTAGAGCACTCGCTTTGCAAGCGAGAGACCTGAGTTCAATTCCAGGCAGAGGGCGAAACCTTGGGCAAGTTTCCTTACTCCACACACCTAATAATAATCCCTCCAAAACCCAAAACAATAATAAATTGGTCATTTTCAATCTACGACTGTTTGTGGGACCGCGTTCGCCCACAAATATATAGTCAATTCACTTTACAATGTGTTCTGTGAAGCGCTTTGGGACGTCCTCCCGACGTGAAAAGCGCTATATCAAATGCAAGGATTATTATTATTATTATTGATAGGTAAATCAAAGAGTTCTGCTCTACTGCTGGAACGGATGGGAGTTACACTCGCAGATTATGCTTGGCATTTCATCATATCATTCATTGCGCATATATTATTCAAACTTTTGCTTGTGGAAAATAGCCAAATTCAGTTGAGGATAATCTCAGTAGACTACATTCCACCAAAAGCTGGAGTGTTTATACTGCATTGACGTCAAATATTTGAATGATTAAATTAGAATATGCAAGTACCAAAAAATAATACCTTTCGGTATGGAATTCATATTGAATCTTGAATAGGTAACTAGACGTGTGCATGTATAATCTTGGACTAAATATTTGAAGAAATAAAGCAGTCTTAAGCACATTCAAAAAACTTTTCTCATACATGCTGTGGAACTGGGTTACATCTGTTCCAGCAACACTGAACATTTGCCTGAGAATGTCTGGTATGCAGCTAGTTTAAAAACAATGTTTGAACTCCTGTCCAAAGATATCAAAGCTCTCTGGAGGCTCTGGATTCCCCTGACAGAAATAATCTGTTACAGTCCAGTTTCCCCTCAGCCCATCAGCAGCCTTCCTGAATAGATGTTAGCATGTAGTCAAACACACTTCAACCCTTTATTAAAAAAAGGTCTGCTAATCTTTTTACTGTGGAGGCATTTCTTCAAGCAAATCTAAGTCTGTTTATGAACCTAAGCAACCTTTAATTTTACAACATCGTCACTTTCGCAAACATTTATTTTTCAGTGGAATGTCACCAGTAGAAAATAGGCCAGGGAGGGGAGGGGAGGGCGAGATCGCATTTTTTCCGTATGTGCTCAGTGTCTGTGATTTTAAGATTCCAATTTGTTTGTGAAACATTAACTGCTTTTTGGAACACAATCAAGAAAGCAATGCTCTATTCTCCATTGCAATAAACCACTCGCTCCAATTGTACTTTAGAAAGCATAGCTGAAACTCCTTTTTATTAAAAAAACACTTAAGAATGAATCATAACTTTCACTGTATTCTAAAGCTTGTTTCTATACACCTATCTGCCAAACTATACAACTGTACTGCATCAAAATTATTCTGACGTTGCTGTTTCTTATATAAAGTTAGAGTTGGAATCAAACTACAAGTTGCACATTAATGATCGGCACTACACACGCCTCCTCATCTTGGTTGACTTTAACCTCCACTTCATCCACCTTACTCCATCTCAGACCATTATTTAATGTCTCTTAATTCCACCATATACCACTCCCTATCATCCTGGGTAAAAAAAATTGACCTCCACTCCCTCTCCGCCGCCCTAGTTATCTGACCTCCTACCCCTCTAGGTCTCCTCCCATAACAATCTTACCTCACTCCTCCACAACTCCCTCTCTTTTATCCTCGAGACCCTTCAGCCCTTTTGCCCCCACCCTCTGGAACTCCATCACGGATTCCCTACTCCTCCCCCCCTCTTTTCCTTCCTTCGAAGCCCATCTCCAAATGTTACTCTTTGATTATATTTCCAGTCATCCTCCTACCCATATCTTCCTTGGCCCCCACATCTCCTAACTCGGGTGTAATCAACTGTCTAGCGCCCTGGGACGTCACACCAATGTGAAAGACGCTTTATAAATACAATTTGTTGTTGTTGGTGTGTGTGTGTGTGCGCGCGCGTGGTGAGGGCGGGAGAAGTCTTGGTTAAGTGCAGAAGGTTCACTGATAAAACCGGAGAGAGAGAACTGAATAGAGAGAACTGAATAGATATCTGGGGAAGACGGGTTTGCAGGGTTATGGGGAGAAAGCTGGTGATTGGGGTTAGTGAAAGTGACTTGCTCTGTCAAAGAGCCGGCACAGAATGGACTCCTTCTGTGCCGTAATATTCTATGAATCTATGAATCTATGAATCTATGAAACACGCTGCTGTGATAACACTTCACAGAAAACAATTAACATTTTTCCAATTTTTCAAACCTTTTATTGCTCAACTTTCGACCCGTAACCGATTGACAAGGATGTGTTGTAATTGAACAAGATTCGATTCAAAATAATGAAATTAATAAATTGTTCAACGTCTATTCTCACAAGTTGGTTCCATGAGAAGGTACATCTTACTTGTATTTTGTTTGTAGTTCGTATTGGCTACTCAAAATCAATCAATAAAGAAGCATTAGAAATTTTGTTTAGTTATGTATTAATCAACAATCTATACACAATATAGTGTCTCAATTTAGGCAATTATTATCATTTTAAATAAAACTTGCATTTATGTAGCGCTTCACACAGTATAGTGTCCCAGAGTGCTTAAATAGGATCAATTACTTTTCTAAAGCTGTTGAACATAAACTACAATGACTTTCATAGGGAATAAAGATGAGCTGTACAGTCAGAGGTAGTGTAATAAAGGTAATAAAAGTATTATTCCAGCTATTTTAAACTCCTTCAATTTTTTGAATAAAAACAAACCGCAGTGGTTCTTGATCATAATTGCAAGAAACACAAATTATTCTTTACAAAGCTTCCAGAAT